TCGTCCGCGACGGCTCGCCTTGACGACAGCTACGCCTCCGCCATGCCGACTTCTTCGACCAACACCTCTGGCGCCGTGCCCGCTCCTGCTCGGACGGCCGTCGAGGACCAGCCGTCGTCCTCCAGCAGGAAGCGTCGGCGCTCGCGGGAGCCCGACTGGAATACCTTTTACCGGAACGGCCTCCCCAAGGAGATCATCGTCATCGACGACACCCCCGAGCCCGAGGCCAACACGGGCCGCAGGATTGCGAATGGAACCGCCGTCGTGCCCGACTCGGCCGCCACGGCTGCTGCTCAGTCGTCGGCCAAGAAGCGAAGGCGAGACGACCAGCCGCTGGGCTACCACGTCCAGTATGTGGGCGGCTCGCACACAGCTTCGCACACAAACACGCCCCGGCCCAACACCACGCCGGGCGGCTCAACGCTCTCCAGCGACCGCACAAACTCGGCATTGAACACCACGGCGCCCACGTCTCTGTCTTCCAACAGCCAGTACGACGAGCTCGCCGCGCCTCTCAAGCGCAAGCGTACCACCCGCCAGCAGGTCGCCAACGAGGTCGCCAAGCGGAGGGACGTTGACGGCCTGGGCGGCGCCTTTATGGCCTACAAGCCTCCTCCATTACCGCTCAAGAAGTGTGGTGAGGTTCCCGTCAGAGTCGTTAATGACGTAAGTCCAGCGTTTCCCGAGTTCTCCATTATTTGAAAATTTCCCTCTCTATAACGAGCAGTGTAAAGGACTCAATACTAATTGCTTCATCCTTCGTCATAGCGACACTATAACAAGAATGCCAAAGTCGATGATGACGACGGTCATTATATCGTCGTTCCGGACGCAGAGCTCACTGATAATTGTATGTACAACCCCGCTGTCCCTGTGAATGCAATTGGGTCAGCGGTGACTAACGGCATCATCATCATCAGATCAAATCGTTCGCCTCCTCGGACAGGGAACCTTTGGCAAAGTCGTCGAGGCTCGCGACGTCAAGAGGGGCAAGCCTGTGGCTGTCAAGATCATTCGATCTGTCCAAAAGTATCGCGACGCCTCGAGGATCGAGCTTCGCGTCTTGAAGACGCTCAAGGCCAACGACGAGGAAAACAGGAATCGATGCATCCACCTGCGGGACTGCTTCGACTACCGCGGCCACATCTGCATCGTGATGGACCTTTTGGGGCAGAGCGTTTTCGACTTCCTCAAGGGCAATGGCTTTGTCCCCTTTCCCAACAGCCAGATCCA